GTAGTGCTTCTGCCTAGAACGCCATTTTGCCGCAAGTCCTGCTTTCTATGTTTTTTTAAAAAGAAATCTCTTTGTCATTTTTTTCCTAAATTCTAGTTCTTATAATTTTGACCTCAGTGTTAAGTGAGGCATAGATCCATGGTTGTAAACTTTCTGAAGAGTCTTTTCCTAACCACCCCACCCCCATTTAGAGGCTGGAACAAACTTCCTTCTGTCCTTTTGCTTTTCACTGAGCAGGCATCTGTTTGAGGATCTGTCCTCACCTCATCCCTTTTCCCCTCTCCCCAGCATCTGTTGTGTCTACCTACTAGCTTAAGGCTCTGAGTTTTCAGTTTACTCCTTGTCTGTGGCCACAGCCATTCCTCTGACAAGTCCTAGGTAAGATTTGCATAGTTTCTCATGTGATGTCTCAGGTCCAGTGGACCATCTTACCCAAGCAGAGCTGGTAATTTCTTTTGAAATGTATTCAAGACATAGTCTGATTTTAATGCAGGTAAAATGCACAACAGCTGCATGTTAGAATTGAGGAAATCTCACGGATAAAACTACTTAAGCAACTTAAACACTTTTTACCATGCACTTTCCCCTGGAATCTGACGTTCTTCTCTGTCCTGGCTCCCGGCGCTCTGTGGGCAAGATTTGTCCTGGCCAGGGGTACTTTGTCCTTTTGACCTCTCAGCTGTTCCCTGAGGAGGTACAGCAGTTCATAGAAATCCAGCACTGGGAGGTCTCTAACACACAATCTTGCCAATTCCTCAGTTGTCTTGTTCACCCCCTAGGCCTAGGTGGGGAGAGTAAAGATAGCCCCCAGCTCTGTGACTGCTGCATCTGTTGTGCTGTTAACGCATACATATGTGTATGTGTTTGCCTTCTGTAGGTCAGACGTGTGTTGACATCAAGGACAACGTGGTGGATGAGGGATTTTCCTTCACCCCCAAAGGTGACGACCTGTGCCTAAGCTGTACCTGCCATGGTGGGGAGCCGGAGATGTGCGTGGCTGCCCTCTGCGAGCGGCCGCAGGGCTGCCAGCAGTACCTCAAGGACCCCAAGGAGTGCTGCAAGTTCATGTGTCTGGATCCAGGTGAGATTGATGGTGGGTTGCAAGTCAGCCGACTCATTCAGGGACAGAATCTAAACATCCCTTTGCTTTCTCAGTGGTGACGATGCCTAAGAGCTCATGGCACGTGGTATAGCCGCCACTGGCAGTGTTTGCTCCACAGAGCTGGCTCAGAGGCTTTGGTGCCAGGTACTCCAGTAGGCATGTGTCTCAAGTAACCTGGCCTCTTTTAACTGCTGCTTCACAGGTTGGCTCGGTTCAACTTGCAGGTAAAAGGTTTCATTCACAAATTGTGAGAACTCGAGCATGGTTATTTGTTCAAAAATCAGCTATAACTGACAGCTTCAAACATGTCTTTCTCCTTTTCTTTTAAGATTCAGAATCAGACTTGCAACTTATTTCCACATTTGAGCTCTTCCTGTTTTCTCACTATGTTGTTTTGGGAGAGTGATGACAATTTTTTTTGCTTACAGTCATCAACTTTTACTGTTGGAATCTTCAATAAAAAGATTAAATATTCCCCCCAATTTCAAAATAAAACTCCTCCTGACTAAGTGGTGCTGTATATGTGGGCCCTGCATAGAAATCTGGTCTCTCTGGATGACCGTCTCCTTCAGCTTCCAAAAAAAAGAACAGTCCATAGCACCCTGCTCTTAGGGGTCATTGGCAAGTTTCAGACTCTGTGGACCATACTGATTGTCCTCTACACCAGTGCAGTCAGTGGCTCTGTATGAGTTCAGCATCTCAAGAGAAAAGTAAATCAAAAGCAGACAACACGAATTTGCTTCTTCCATGGGCATCACCATCTGAAAATAACATGGGTGGGAATTTGTGAAGGCACCTGGGCTCACGGATCCTGTGAAAGAAGAGCTAGAGAGGGCCCCATGGCAGGGAGAGGTTGAATTTGCCTGGGGCTTGTGGAAGGACAAGCTCGGGCCTAGGTATGAGGACCAGTACATCACGCTGTCCCAGGGTGGAGTATTGGCAGATCCCCTCCACATTGCTAGGAAAGAGGGTCAAGGAGCCCTTCAGAGGCTGCGTGTGAAGTGTAGTGGCACAAGTATCCTAAAAAGTATGCAGTTGACTGCAGTGAGCACAGAGGCCATATTTGCAGTGAAGCCCCCAAGAGGACATGGAGCTGGAGACTGGTGCGAGGGGCTTCTCAGCCTCCTGCGTCTCGCAGGGATGACAGCATTCTGCTTGTTTGTGTAGGGTGCATTCCTGCGAGGTTGTGAGAAATCCTCTACCCCCAGCCATATCACTCTGAAACTCCAGCTCACTTACCTTGTATGGGTGTCAGAATCTGTCTCCCACAAGCCATGTCACCTGGATTCCTGGTTCCATTTTTCAGGAATCTCTCAGCACTGCCTTGCACCCTGTCCCAGCTTTATAATCAGGACCAGCTGAATGGAATGATGACCCATCTGGGCATGTGTAGCCTCTGGGGCCTGCTCAGCCCTGAGGACCTCTCAGCAGAGCAGGGCCCTCAAGGGGATCTAGGCCTACCCAGTGCTGCTGCAGGCCCACTCTCCTGCACAGCTGGGAGGGCTTTCTCTCCCAGGGGCCTGCTCTGTCACACAGACAAGATGCTCATACTGTACCCAGGACAGAGATGCTGCCACTGGAACTAGAGGCACTGGAAGTAGTATCTCAGTTGTTAGCCTTTAAAGTATCTCCTTCAAATAGGCCAGGGTGTCTGCTTTCACCTTTCTGTAGTGAGCATTGTACAGAAGGTCAAGGCCTGTGAAGAAGGCAAAAAAATATCAAAAGGCATCCAGACTGGAAAGGAAGAAATGAAACCATCTCTTTTTGCTGATGACATGATTGTCTACATAAGAAATCCAAGACAGTCTACAGAAGAGCCGCTAGAACTGATAATTGTGCTTAGCAAGGTCTTCAGATACAAGATCAATATACAAAAATCAGTTGTGTTCATGCCATACACAAAAACTAATTCAAAATGAGTCAAGGACCTGAACGTTAAATCTAAAACCATAATGCTCCTGGAAAAAAATATAGGAGCAAAGCTTTGGGACCTAATTTTTTTCAATGATAGATTATCAAACACAATAAATGCATGAGCAACAGAAAACAAAATAGATCACTGGGACCTCATAAAAGTTAAATACAAGTAGTCCCTGACTTACAATGGGGTTCCGTTTGACATAAGTTGAATACCTCTTTTTTTAAAGTTTTCGTTATTGCCTTTTATTATCGATATCTTTATAAATCTGATCTTTATTTGTCTTTGGGGTGTGGAAACATTATATAGAAACATTAGCAAATTACAAGCAGCAAGACTATATTTAGTACATATTACAATAAGACGTACAAAAAAAAAAAAACCAGATGGTCATAAGTGCAGTTTGTTGTAACTAAAATACGTTGTAAGTCAGGGACTATCTGTACTTATATTCATCAAACACTTTATCAAAAGAACAAAGAGACCACTTTACAGACTGGAACAAATCTTCAGGAATGATAACTAAAATATATAGAAAACATCTATAACTTAATGACAAAAAGCCCAATCAAAAATCAGGTGAAGAACATTAACAGACACTTCACCAAAGAGGATATTCACATGGCCAACAGACACATGAAAAGATATTCAGCGTCATTAGCCGTCAGAGAAATGCAAATGAAAACCACAATGAGATACCATTTCCTCTCACTAGGATAGCTACGATTAAAAAAAATTGGATAACAAATGTTGGCCAGGATGTGGGGAAATTAGAATCCTTATCCATTGCTGGTGGGAATGCAAAATGGTACAGCCATTGTGGAATACAGTCTGGAGGTTCCTCAAAAACCTAGAGGTAGAACTGCCATATGACCCAGCAAGTCTTCTTCTAGGTATGTACCCTAGGGACCTAATAGAAGTGACACGAACAGACATATTCACACCTGTGTTCATTGCAGCAGCATTCACAATATCAAAAGATGGAAACAACCTAAGTGCCCATCAACAGATGAATGGATAAGTAAAATGTAGTACATACATACAATGGAATATTACTCAATGATAAAATGAGTTCCCAAAACATCTTAACAACACAGCTGAACCTGGAGGGCATTATGTTTAACGAAATAAGTCAAGCACAAAGAAACAAATACTGTATGTTCTCATTTTTATGAAATGACATGAACAGGTAAATATACAGAAACTAATATTCATTAGTGGTTACTAGGGGTGTGTGTGGGCGAGGGAGAGAAGTATTCCTTAGTTAGTAGTCACTTTTGTTTATTGAAATGGCAAAGATGGCACTGAATGTAGGTTATGACCTGATGTAACTGATGTCAGTAAGCTGTACATAGGGAAAAGGGATGAAATGGGCAATGCTAAGTTGTGTATGGTTTTGCAACCGTAACAACCACCAAGAAAAAGGGAGGGGGTATAGATGTCAATGCTAATTAGACATAACCAGTCACCTTAGGTATTCTCTTGGTTTGGGGGCTTAGGGCTGTGGTCTCATGAGACAGTCCAGTCAATTAGCATAGTATAGTCCTTAAAGTTTATGTTTTGCCTCCCACTATGGTAAGTAGTGTCTGGGGTCTTAAAAGCTTATGAATGGCTGTCTTAGCTATCTCGTGCTGCTATAACGGAAATACCACAAGTGGATGGCTTTAACAAACAGAAGTTTATTCTCTCACAGTTTAGGAGGCTAGAAGTCTGAATTCAGAGTGCTAGCTCCAGGGGAAGGCTTTCTCTCTCTGATGGCTCTGGGGGAAGGTCCTTGTTATCAGTCTTTGCTAGTCTAGGAGCTTCTGAGTGTAGGAACCCCGGATCCAAAGGACACAAAATTCTCCTGGCTCTTTTTTCTTGGTGATATGAGGTCTCTCTATCTCTCTGCTTGCTTCTCTTTTTTATCTCAAAAGAGATTGACTCAGGATACAGTCTAATCTTGTAGATTAAGTCCTGCCTCATTAACATAACTGCCTCTAATCCTGCCTCATTAACATCATAGGGGTAGGATTTATAACACATAGGAAAATCACATCAGATGACAAAATGGTGGTCACACAGTACTGGGAATTATGGCCTAGCCAATCTGACACACATTTTTGGGAGACACAATTCAACCCATAACAGTGGCCATCTAAAATACTATTGGACTTTATACATCTGGAACAAAAGAGAAAAAAGAAAACCCAAGAATCACAGAAGGAAATGGACTACAGGACTAATTGTCTAAATGAACCACTGCCTCCTTCAGCTTGACACCAGAAGAACTAGATGGTGCCCAGCTACCATAACTAAATGTTCTGATCAGGAACACAGTGGTGCTCTGATCAGGAACACAAAAGCGTCTACCCCAGCAGAACGTGTCCTCTGTCTGGGGGACCAGCGATAGCTGGGAGCCAGCAGACCTAGAAGACAGAAGACAGCCCTATCTGTCAGTGTCCAGAGCACCACGAAAGGCCTAGGCCTGTTGTCGGTCCCCTGGGACCTCTGGTTCCTGGGACAGAGCTCTCTTCTTTGTGTCTGAATAGAAGTGACTTGATTCTAGGAGGTGCATCCTTCTGGTTCCCACTGTGGAGGGGTGGTCAGGGACTTTGACTGAGTTCTTGGGTTTATTTTAGAATAGATTAAGAGTCAGTCATTGCAAAGGGGCTCCTTCTCTGGGATCTCTGAGCTGGCAGCCAATTAACAGATGTGTCACCAGCTCCCTTAGTTGATGGACTGCCACCAACAGACAGGGACGAAATGTTCCCTTGAGATTGGTGGCGGGTCAGAGGCATCAAGAAAAGCAACTAATTGGTGAGAGAACACATCCTTTTTCCATGTTCACTTCTCAAGTGTTGTTAACAACAGAGCAGCTTTTTGGGAGACTGGCCCTGTGGGAGAAGAGCAAGAGCGAGCTCTGGTCATCTGTGTTGGTGTGGAGCAGGCTGGCCCTGCAGGAGAGGTGGAGGGCTCTAGGGGCACTCTGTGGAGCCCATGTTTCAGTGAAGTGTCTGCTCGGGCCTGGGCAGTTGGGCAGAGATGGGAGTGGACAGTCATCGAGCACTTCCCGCAGCTA